GTCAGCATTCTTATGTTTGGTTACGGAACAGATAGGTTCAAAAACCATACAGAGGTGCCTTCTGTTAAGTCAGCATTCTTATGTTTGGTTACGGAACAGATAGGTTCAAAAACCATACAGAGGTGCCTTCTGTTAAGTCACCATTCTTATGTTCGGTTACGGAACAGATAGGTTCAAAAACCATACAGAGGTGCCTTCTGTTAAGTCAGCATTCTTATGTTTGGTTACGGAACAGATAGGTTCAAAAACCATACAGAGGTGCCTTCTGTTAAGTCAGCATTCTTATGTTCGGTTACGGAACAGATAGGTTCAAAAACCATACAGAGGTGCCTTCTGTTAAGTCACCATTCTTATGTTCGGTTACGGAACAGATAGGTTCAAACAATTAATTGGTATTACTTTATTGTATTGCCTCAGTTCTTATGACTGTTTTATAAAAAGTTGTTTTTTTTTTTTTAAAGTTTGGTGTTGACGGATTGAAAAGCCCTTTTATTCTTTTTCACGATTATTCAGTTATCAAAATGATCTTCTACAGTATTGAAATGTATATTAAATATTTTTTTACGAATATAAATGAAAGACAGAAAGAAACAATGTCCATCATCAATTTCGATAAATACACCTTATGTATAATCGTTCTTCTCTTGGTATTTTGTTTTTGTATTTGCCTATTTCAATTATTATAAGTGAATTACCTGACTATGATCACTGAATTATCTGACTATGATCCCTTAATTACCTGACTATGATCCCTGAATTACCTGACTATGATCCCTGAATTACCTGACTATGATCACTGAATTATCTGACTATGATCCCTTAATTACCTGACTATGATCCCTGAATTACCTGACTATGATCCCTGAATTACCTGACTATGATCCCTGAATTACCTGACTATGATCCCTGAATTACCTGACTATGATCCCTGATTCTTAATTTTGTGAGAAATCTTCAAACCTCAAAATTAGGATTTTTATAGTATAAACAGAAAAAGTTCAACAAAAGAAAGAGTATTGTCCTTACTTAAAATCCATAATATGATAAATTGTCACACCGCCAAATTTCTGAAAATATCCAGGAAGAAACTTGATCAAGATCTTTCCCGAGCCGCCCGTATGCTGTTTGTGGGCCCAAAAATCTTACAGGTTTGTTGATGAAGACTGATTAATCACCTAAACAAGGCTTTTCGTCTGTAGGCTATTGGGTTGTGGGAACGGATGATGTTTGACTTGCAAGGAAATACTGTACATCCAAACTTTCAACAGTCACTTGACTGATACGACATTCACCATACAATGTATTTCTTCTTCAGTGGCGAGTTAGGACATTTCACAATCGTATGAATGGCCATCGTAGTGACTATGACTGTAAGCCAGATCTCACTCTCGGTCAACCCTTGATATCTCCTGGTCACTCTATGGCAGATCTGAACCGACTATCACCATCATTGACCACAATACTTGGTCCAGCGAGGAAAAAATCACTCGGGAAATATTTTGATTAAGAAATTTGAAAACGTTGGCACCAAATGTAATCCATGAATAGAGGTAGCTTAACTCAAGCATTACTTACTACAGTTGCAAGATGTGTTATTTCATTTTGGAATGTATTGCCACGCACTCCTGTTGGTTTTAATATTAACTGTATCCAGTTCATCAATTTTTAATACGTAATTTGTATGTAGTAGCTTAAGATTTTAGAATTATTATATAACTCTACATTTTATAATATATGGCTATCAAAGTGTATTGCTGTCATAGTATATTGCTGTCAAATTGTATTGTATTCAAAGTTTATTGCTGGCAGATTGCTGTATAATATATATGTTTTTCGTTTATTGTTTTTAGATAAGTCAGTCTGTTTATTTTCTCTTTTTTTTTAATGGTTTAATATTTTGCCGGGGCGTTTTACAACTTATTATACGGTATGGGTTTTTGCACATTGTTGAAGGCCGTGCAGTCACCTATGGTTTTTTAGATTCTTTTATTAATTTGACTTTGATTTGTATCTATCAGATTTGAACACCGGTACCCTTTTGTTGCCTCTAAAGTACCACCTCTCCTTATTATTTTATAAACTGTTAATGATAAAACTTAAGTTGATATTCGTAGTAGATCAGAGAAATCACGTGTACTTAACATATATTTTCAAGCATATTGTTTTATTCTGATGTTTGGCTGAAGGATAACAAATGTATTTTCTCTGTTTGAGAATGAAGCTGCTATCCGAATGTGGAACACTTGACTTTTTGACACCATAATATAATAAAGCTTTGAAAGATCAATTGCTTCGTTTCCTTGTACAAGACTTTAAAAAAACGTCATTGAAACAGAGAATAACTTTTAGATCATGAGCGTCTCGCTTTTTTTTAAATTTCAATTTTTATTCATAAAGTGAATTAAATCTGAAAAATGCAATTTATTTTAGACAAAACTGAATTAACGTACTTTCTTAAAAGGTTAGATTATTAGATAATAACGTAGACGAACCAAATTGAATTAAAAATGAAACGAGCATCAGTTAACGACATTTCTGAATTGTTAGATAACATTTAACCAATCAGCCTGTTATCAATGGAAAGGGCAAAGTCACCATCCTTAGAATATATGTAAATAGTAGATTTTTTTTCACTAACCCAATATCATATGTATTATATATTGTTTAGTAGTATATTGTCACATACATGTTTCTGTGACAGTTAATAGAAGTAATGCCTATAGGATACATTATCTATCGACAATGCTCTGGATAAAAAAAACCTGTTAAAATTACATACAGATTTATAAAATGAAAATTCTGACGTAATCATGTTTTTTTCATCAACTAAAAACTACTAACTATGTCCATTGTATATTTAAAAATTAACACCAGTGAGACGTTGGACATTTTAGAGTGTATATAACACACTACACTATGATATGCATCAACATGTTTTACTGAAAGATTGATTTTCTCCTTCTTTCTGAACTGTTGGATAAAAAAAATTCTCAATACCATTATTGACTGTTTGTAGACGATGTTCCGTCATTTTGACAGCCCGACGTTTTACAATTAGCTGTTTGTGATAGGTCTTTAATTTAATCCAAAATAAGTTGATTGATGGTTTTAATATTTTGGAATTTTTCTTTAAAGGCAAGTTATAGACTACTAACTTTCTTTAAAGGCAAGTTATAAACTACTAACTATGTCCATTGTATATTTAAAAATTAACACCAGTGAGACGTTGGACATTTTAGAGTGTATATAACACACTACACTATGATATGCATCAACATGTTTTACTGAAAGATTGATTTTCTCCTTCTTTCTGAACTGTTGGATAAAAAAAATTCTCAATACCATTATTGACTGTTTGTAGACGATGTTCCGTCATTTTGACAGCCCGACGTTTTACAATTAGCTGTTTGTGATAGGTCTTTAATTTAATCCAAAATAAGTTGATTGATGGTTTTAATATTTTGGAATTTTTCTTTAAAGGCAAGTTATAGAGAAGTCAAATTGAACTTCATGCTCTCTTTAAGGAATATTACTATGCCTTTAATAAATCAGATTTAAAGTACAAATACAAAATTAGATGAACAAATATACAATATTTATGGCTCTGCAATCTGTCGATACCTGCTTCTTGACATTGCACAATGTCATATTTTTCTCTGACTGTCTTTACACTAAATCCATTGGATGTTGGATATGTACTAATTGATATATAAGTCTTAGATGTATGGTTTGATTTTATTAGTTGTTATTGACTTTGATCTAATATTCTGCTTTGTATTGATCTTATTAGTTAAACCCTTTTCAACTGATTTTTATTGTTTGTTTTTATGTTGTACTGTTATACCACTGTCCCAGGTTAGGGGAGGGTTTGGCGCCAACAAATAAGTTAACACCACCAAATTATGTATGTGCATGTTCCAAGTTAGGAGCCTGTGATTCAGTTGTTGTCGTTTGTTGCTGTATATCATTTTGTTTTTCGTTCATTGTTTTGTACATAAATCAGGCCGTTAGTTTTCTAGTTTGATTAGTTTTACATTTGTCATTTCGGGGCCTTTTATTGCTGACTATGCGGTATGGGTTTTGCTCATAGTTGAAGGCCGTATGGTGACATACAGTTGCAAACTTCTATGTCATTTGGTCTCTGGTGGAGAGTTGTCTTATTGGCAATCATACCATATCTTCTAACTTTTATAAAAAAAAAGAGAGTTTAATAACTGGACCCATTCATGTTAAATTCACATTGCCAATGAAATCTATATTTGCTCTTTCATCTTAAAAGAATTACTATGTGTCTTGTATCCATGTTGATTTAAAGATACATATAAATATGGATACTATTGACATTGTCATTACAAATTGCTTTCTTCCGATTGAAAAATGTATTTTTATTTTCAAAGAAAATTCTTCTTATTATTACAATCTAAGTATTTATCAAATTAAAAACGAAATTTTTCACTGTATTTTCAGTTTTTTTAAGTATAGCGTTTTAGATTTTACTTCAAGATTTTCTCTTTCACCGAATTTTAAATTCCAATGTTTCTAGAAACTTTCATGTGAGAAAAATACCCCAAAAAAACAAATTAATATTCTAATGTGAATCTTTCCGTTCACTTTTTATTTTCCGATTTCTTTACAATAATATCGTCTTTTTACTTAAGAATATTTTGTTTATATAAAAATCTTTATACTGGTGAAGCCAAAATCGTTACCTTTTTTTTTTTACAAAATTTGCAGTTGTGCATTTCTATGTCGAGTGAGGCTACCATGTGAGATTACCAAAAAGTAGAATGAAAATACATTTTCCTCTTTCACACCTGACTCATATTAGTTACTTATATTACATGTAACTTTCTAGAACCATTCACCATGATCTAACTCCATTATGCTAGTACAAGTACCACCTCTCTTCATAGTAGATTTATAAAAAAAAATGCATTATGCTGAATGTTATTGTAATTGTAGTCCCGGATTCCCACTGAAATTTTAAAAAATCAAGTTAATACATTAAATATATTTAATAAAACATTTATTGTGTGTAAAAATTGGATAATATCATGTTAAGAATTTTTGACAAACAACAGTCATAAAAGGCACTAACATTTACAGTAAAAAAATCACGATGAACCATTTTAAGCATCATTGTTACTAAGAAGGACTCTGTTACATGAATTGTCTAAACTGTCATCCTTGAAATTCACACATGGAATATGTTCATTAACTTCCCGACTTATACGATCTCCACCATTTTCCTCAACCTTATCAAATAGTGATCTATGAACACATTGAAAGTCGCCTTCTGCTCTCGAAGTAAGTGTCATGTTAACTGAAGTAGAGTTGAATTTACTTCTTGAATGTGAAATACCACGATCCCTTATTCGTCGGCGCCATGTCCGGCGTAGATATGAAAATACCTGTAATCAAGATATCAATAATAAAAAAAAATGTATAACGGCGAAATCACTTACTCATGAATGCCAGATTTTGATATAATAAAGAATTCGAAGAAAAAACAATACAAAACCAACTTTCGTTTTATTGATACTGTTGGAACAAAAAAGTAAAAATGCTACAACGTTTGAGAGAGATAATAAGAAATGTTTTCTTTTGAAAAAAAAACAACTCAATGTTTTCGGTTTACACTCTAGAATAATATAGATACTTGATAATTCAAAAAAATTATTACAGAAACCAGATACCAGATTCATTACGCCAGACGTGCGTTACGTTTACACGAGTTTTATTTTAAGTAACGTCCTAATGAAATCACTTGGAATACCAAAGCAAATATAAAGATGAAGAGCATTGAAAACCAAGCAACTCCAAGAAGTAGTCATTGTCGTAAAAACTGCGTTTAGCAACCTACCTTTGTTTACGGTTATATGTGCAACTGTTGTGAACAAAATGATATTATTAGGAAACATCGATGAGACAGCAACACTTCATTGTTTTGTTTCGTCACTACATAATAAAAATCAAACATGCTTTTTGTCGCATTGACCTAATATGTATGTTTGGGCTGCTCATCAATTTTGTCAATATAACGGAACTATAATCTATATAACTGTCATACAAGTGGGAGGTTTAGGTAGCTATAAAGCAAGGTTAAGAAATTATGAAAACAACACGTGATAAATGTCATGCGTCCGAAGCGCTCTTCTGTATTAACCTTCATCAGGAACGCTCAAAACTGAATATTTTAACCAACCATTTTCTTCGGAAAATACCTGTACCAACTCAGGAATATGGCAGTTGTTTTTCACTTGTTCCGTCGTTTGACTTTGTCAGTTTTTATGGACTTCCCAAACCTTCACCCCCCCCCCCCCACCCCCCACCCCTTTTGAATTTGCCTTGGAGTTCAGTGTTTTTGTTATACTCTTTTAAACTGCCTTTTGTAATGCAAGTCGAAAAAAATTAACAGAGACTAAACAAAAAATCTATCATTAAATTCAACTTCTCCAAATAACAAAAATGAATTCAACTTCTCCAAATAACATATTAAGATATTTCTAAAGACAACTTTAACGATGTTTCAGGCACACAAATATACGACATGGCTAATCTAGTCTTCTTATATCTCGGACAACATTGTCGAATGTTAGTGTTTGAAATAAAAAAAAATATAATTGCACAAAAGACCATTAACAATAAAACCAATGCAGCTTATGCAATGTTCGTCTTTGAATTTGAAATCGTTTTAACATTTTGTCTTTGTCATTTGATTTGTCATCAGACTAAAGGATAACATAGCTGATTAGAAAAGAAATAGAAAATATATCAAGGAAGAAATAAAGAGAATTAAATGTCCATTGATTCTAGATTGTGAAGTGCAGATTACTGGTAAGCATAATTATGATTACCTGTCTTTTTGTAATTTGTCTGTGTCTCATATTTATAAACACTATATAAAAGGAACACAGACGATTTAACGTGTTATCTTTTTATTATCGTTCTTATAAAACTATGCAATTTGTCTGTGTCTCATATTTATAAACACTATATAAAAGGAACACAGACGATTTAACGTGTTATCTTTTTGTTATCGTTCTTTTAAAACTATATTGTTTTACTTACTTCATTGTTTAGGAAACAAAATATCAGTGCCACAAGAAATCCCTAAAAAAACAACAGATTTCTTATAATTATATATAATGAACTGTTTTTCACAAAGTTTCATGCATATTTAAAATTGTAAAACCAGCGGACCTTGACCCGCTTGTACTATAAGATGCTATGTTTTGTTTGATTTGTTTTGCTGTACATGACAACCCAAAAGGCATGACAAGTCGAAGAGTCGATTAATGTCGATATAATCGGTCAAGCGCTAAACAGAATATAAACATTCTATAGCAATTACATAAAATGACTTTCAAACAATAAACTTAGATGGCTTGCCATTTTAGTCAGAACTTTGATATGTACATTCATAAGTTTATTTTCTTTTCACTACAGAAACATTTGCAATTTTAAGGAGGTGTGGTATGATTGCCAAAAAGACAACTATCTATTAAAAGATAACAAAATGACATTTATTTGGAATAATAACAGTTCATCGTTCGGCGAATGTTCAATAGTTGTGCAAAACTATAATTAATATTGAACTGTCAAAAAGTAAATTAACATTATCTGATAAAATAACTTTCTCTTAAAAAATGTTTATTTGAGAAAATAACATTATAAAAGGACATGTCGTAAAACGTACAATGAACCTATGTCCTATAACTTTTAATCATAAAAGCAAGACAAAAAAATCATCCAAACAAAACGAAGAGTCTTTCAAAGCAATAACAAAAGCTTGTGATGGACAAATGATGTTCATAGAATTTCGTTTACTTTCGCTCAAATATCGATTTGAATCATACCTGATGTAATATACATCTGAACATCTGTAAACGACCATATGTTAATGATCTTTATAGTTCTTCTTACCTGTAGATTGTTAATGATAATAGAAAATCGTTCGTACTGTAAACCGCCTGTCTCAGTGATTGGTACTCTATATATAGTCACGACCAACTGTATTCCAAACAAAGGAATTAACACAAACATTGCCTTTAAAGCTTTTCTAAAAGTAAAGTAAGAATAATAACCAACTATGGTTGAAAATTATTTATTGCAGGTTAAAGTAAACTCATCATAGATACCAAGATAAAATGTGTACGCAAGACGCGTGTTCCATCTACAGTAGACTCATCGGTGACGCTCGATTTAAAAAAAAGTTTAAAAAGCCAAAAGAAACATTCCATTATATAGTATTTTGTTAGTGTAGGAGTAGCTGTCTCTCAATTAATCCAAAGTCTATATTTCAAGAATAATTAATTTAAAAAAAAATAAAATAAAAATCTGGAGATGCGGTTCGAGTCCCAATTAGGTCACTGTACGGCCTTCAAACCTTGTGTATTGCAAGTAACCGATCAACATATTCAATCTTCACAGTATTTTAGACCAATACTAGTATATTTTTTTGCGCATAATTACGTTTAAATGTTAAAAAAAAATTCAAAAAGTAAAACCAACCAATAAACTCAGATCAGAACATATATTTGATTTATGAATCCAATGATTCGTTAATGAATCATATATAAATATTCTGAAAATCTATTTTTAGAGCTAAAACATCATACAGAATTATGAGAATAGTTTAGAAGCATCATCCGATTCAATGCTTATTAATTCGACTGAACTATTCTAAATTTACAAATTATATAGGCACGTGTTTAATGGTTCATAAATATTGTTTTTATTAATTATTCCTCTTGATAGCATAATGGTGATAACTTCAAAAATATTCATAATCGATGAAAAGTTTTATATTAATTACTGTATACTATTTTAAGTACATTTTCATTTGCACAGCAGTTTTTACTCATAAATAGCTACCCACCTGAAATTACTGGGTTCATTGGGGTGAGACTGCATCTGTGTGAGCAGTATCCGAAGAATGTTACAAAGAAAGATCAGATTCACCTGTTAAAGATAGAAGAACATAAGGAAAATTGGGATACTCATCATAAATCGATCAATAAACTAAAAATTCGTGTTGTCAAAGGATCATTTACTGTTCTTCGTACTTTGTATTTAAATACCTTGACTAAATTGAATGAAAATGTGATGTACATGTTTCAACATTATTCTGATTATAGTTTTATGTATGTATTAACAAGTACTACAGACTCAGATCTACTCTAACATTGTTTAGTTGATTTTCTAGGCACTTTATTAATATTCTAACGCCTGGTATTTCTTAGTTATAAGAAATCCAATTGACAAGGTATATTTTGCAGTTGTCAATACACATAGGCAGACATATTAACAAGTTTATATATATAATTATTGAATGACTGCATTTGTGTAAATGATATATAATCCTTATTTTCTTGTTTACGTGTTTTATTGATTGTTAAAGTAAAGTACGACTAACTGTACAAAAAAGAGGCGAAAGATACAAAGGGGGCATTCAAAACTCAAACGTTGGCAATACCATGGCAACAAAAAAGAAAAACGACGAAAAGATGAAAAAAAACTACATAGAAAACTACAGATTGAGCAAATTGTTATATGAATGTTCTGTTATTTTTTCAATTTATTCTTATCATTATTCTTGACCTGTGGTAATATACTATAGTGTTTGATTAAGACAGTGAAATACGTGAGGATGAGCTTTTTTTAATATATTTTCCATAATTTTTCTGATAGGCATTTCATTCGGCTTTGAGTGTTTGTGATCAAGGTTTATTTAGAAAAGCGCTTCGGATGCAAGAATTTATAAAGTGATGTTTTCACTTTTATAAAATGCGGCATACAATTTCCCTGATTTGCGTATTAAAAAAATCATATTTACAATGTAATTGGCTAAAATATGAAAACATTTGTGATATGTAGGATGTAACAATGACCATGATTATAAATTCCCTTGGTTTGTATACATTTTAAATAATGTTTTTATACATTTTCACTTGTAGCAATTTTTTATATATTCTCTTTTCGTTTAAGGATATAGTATTTAACTTATATAATTAAATAGTCATAATTAACAATTTAGAGGTAAAAACTTGAAAGGAAATAATCCAAAAAGAAATAAGGACGCAACAAAAGAGAAGAATATACCAATAAAATCAAAAGATAATAATGATGACGATAATGATGACCGAGGCCGAGGTGATTGATAATTCCAAGAAATATAGAAAACATCATAAACAAATAACATAACAAGACATACACAAGATAATTATATACAAATAAAGCGATGTGTTATGATTGCCAATGAGACAACTATCCGCCAGAGTTTAAAAGAGGTGGATGTAATCAAATATAGGCAACCGTACGGCCTTCAACAAAAAACACATTGAAATATTTTTCTATAAAACTTGTAATCTGCATTTTGTCAACACCAACCCGCAAATAGGATAATTATGCATCTTTGGCTCGTTAATAGACAATTTATTGTTTCTTTTATTTTTCTTTATAGCGTTGTGTTCGATTTGGTTAAACGGTTTATCTACAGGTTGCTTAAATTCAGAAGAGTAAAAATGTGCCTTTTTATAGTCAATTATTGTGTCTATTGTTATAAAAATCAATTCTTTAGAAATGTGTAGAAGAAAGAGTATCAATTACTATCTCACTTTTGCATGTTAAACAGACGACACCATATGTACACATAACAATTACTATGTTCCGAAAAGTTTAATTTATTTTCTTTTTCTTGATGCCTAACTGTCTTTTACGGAAAATATGTCATACAAAAGCAACGACCCGAAACATGAATATTTATTCATTTTATCATTCCTTATACTTATACATAAATTGTTTAGGAATAGGTTATTGTACTTGTAGACTTGCCATATTGAATTTAATAGCATTGTCATTTAAAAAGCACTAATATACAAAAAATCAAGTTAGTGTTTACTTTTGTACCTTTACATGAGGCACAAACTGACATGAAGATAATTCTGATTTTCAGTTTTATGTTGCTATTTAGTCACTAAATTACTATTTTCACATATCTTTTAAAGAAAGCTATTAAACCAAGGGTTCCTAGTGGTAAATTTAAAGACATCATGTCGAAACTTTTACGGACGCCATCTCGAGATTGTTGACCATTCTGGAATATATGTGTCACTATCAACCACGAATTTTCTCCGATTGTCGTTACTACAATTACGTTCTCTTTTCCTCGATTTGACTATCGAAATTGTACCTAGCCTGAGTAACATGACGGGTGCCGCTAGTGGAGCAAGTTCTGCTTACCTTACCGTGTTGGTCAATCGTTAGTTTTCTACGTGGAGTTTTGTACACCTAATTGTATGTTCGTCCTTTTTCGTTTTTGTTTTGTCATGGCGTATAAGATTTGAATGTCCTCTTGGTATCATCCGCCTTTTTATAACAATTTTTCAATTTCCAAATTCTAGTCTTCCAAAATAAAATCGAGCTGATATCAAATATGACAAACTGAACATTTTGATTTTAGGACACTCATGAACATTGACCGACAGAATGAATACTTGTTTTTGCAATTGAAAATGATCCGCTGCTCTACTTATTTTCTATTATCTGCTTTACGCATGTTTTTGACATTTTGTTGTTTGTCATCTGTCCATGAATGTAGGATATTATAATGCTTATCACTGGTACATAGAACTGTAATGTTGGATACTTTTACAGGCACGAGGATATAATAGGGTTTTACTATATTTCTTATAAAAGTTGCAAATTTCAAAATTTACTTCGATACTTACAGCTAGAAAAATAAGATTTGGTATATCAAATATCCATTCAAAATGTCCGTAGCTAGTTGACCAACAACTGAAATAAAACACAAACAAATCCGGATAAATAATTTTTTTACATTCCGAAAACAACATATATTTCAGTCAACATAACAAAATAATGTTTGCTATCGACTATTTTTTCACATGTTTAAACGAGGATCAAATTATTTACTACTTTCAGTCGCGCTGTTCTTACTGTTTAATCTAAGATTTCAAAATGTTTAATGCCAATTAATACTTTTCGGGCAGTTTAACTTTTTTTTCTTGCTAAAAAAATCAAGCATTGCTTCTGATCACCATTGACACATTTAGGTATAAGCCAGCTGTAAAAAAAAGGTTTAACCCACCATTTCGTTCGGAAAATGCCTGATCTTAGTCAGAAATATGACAGTTGTTTTTTCACTTATTCCGTTGATTGATAACGTTTGATTTTGTCAGTTTTATGGACTTCCACTTTTTGAATTTGCCTTGGAGTTCGGTATTTTTTTAATACTTTTTTAGCAGGTTAGAACCTCATACCCTGGCGTCAAAGGCCACTACATCAATACATTGAATAAAGGAAAACATGTATTTATACGTAGAGGAAAGTTCAATTTTTGATACATCATGAAAAAGACTAAATGCTTTTTCAAAGTATACTCCAATATAACTAAATAAGTCATTAATTATTCCTTACCTTTCATTTGCATAAACAGCACGCAGTATTGCATAAATGAGTGTTGTTATAAAAGGAACAGCTGAAATTTACAATGTGTACATTGAATTACATCTAAAACATAATCTAAATTTAATTACGCTAGAAACAGGAATATGATTTTGTTTTACTATACATTGTTACTTCCTTGTTTTTCCATTTCATAAATATACATTGATTTACAAATGACACGAATACACATTTTATCGATCATTTAAATAGAATCTAAGAAATAAAATGTACTTACTCCAACCGGCTACATAGAAAGGTATAAGTGATCTGGGAGGAGAAAAGGCGTCACTCATAAGTCGATGCAAAAACAAGCCTTCACAAAACATCCAAGTAAAACTTGCACATTTAAAGTAGATTTTCACAAATGATAGGATCTTACAGCCTGCCTGTAACACAAAAGAGATTGATAACTATTGTATTTTTCAATTTTGAATAGTGAATTGTCCACTTTTTTGTAAATATGTTTAAAGTTCAAACGTTCACCAAAACGATTAAAAAAATTGCATACGTAACTAAAGTCTTATAAAAAAAAGTATCTTTTTGAGTAGTTTTTAAGTGTTCATGAGAAAGTTTACTGATTTATGAGACTTTTTACCCTATTAAGATTCAGAAAAAAATGGATGGGTTTTTGGTTTGTTTTGAATGTTCTTCAAATGTTGTTCTATAACATTTTTTATTCGAGCGCAATAGATGAGTCTTGTGCAGAAGAAACGAGCGTCTGGCATAATAAAATATAAGCCTATTACCTTTCACGAATATTTACAAGTGCGGTTAAATGTCTTCATAATTACACATAATGGAGAATCAATAATGTAGAGTGCAGTTTGAATTGTTGATTTTCAAAATTGTGTACTATTACAAGTAATATACATGTTTATTTATACCATCTTACAATTATTATGCCAATCTTAAGATCTAGACGTATAAACCTGGCATCAATATGATGTCAAAACTATACTTACGGAGAGAGAAGACAAGAAGGTAAAATTGACTATTTGATTATGTCTTTTTCTAACCTATATTTTGTTGTAACAATGTTGTAAATTAAAGATGAGGATGACAAATATTTTAACTCATCTCTACATTATAAGCCTGTTAGGTTATCACATCTCCTGTCTAGTATATGCGTAGTATAATGGTTTCCTTTTTAAGATACTTGCTGGTGACTCTACCCCATTTATACACCGAATAAAGTTTACAATGCACGCAACAATAAACAATATTTAATCATTCAGTACTTTAAAAGACTGAATACTGCAAATATTTATTTTTAGATCATATCTGAAAATTTATGTAGACTTTACCACCATTGATAAGTGTTTAGTATGACGATAAATTTTCACTTTTGTTCTCGTACTAGGAACAACAAAATTATTTCCGTACTCCATATATACCTTATAACAAAATTATTTTTATTAACTTGTGTAAGTTATTTTATTTGGCGGCATTTTGTCCAAGGTTATGGTTGTCTTTCCGATATTTTTTTTACATCTTACCCCCTTGTTTTATTAATTTTGTATTTACATCGTGTCATAGATCAAATTTATTCGTTCAGTGTATGTTCACTTGTTTTTGTTAATATGTCTTTTGATTAAGTTAAGCCATTTCAATTGATATTTTATAGTGTGTCTTTCTATGTTGTAATATTACACTATTGTTCCAGGTAGGATGAAGGTTGGCGCCTATTGAAACGTTTAACCCTGCTGCATTTGTTTGCACATGATGTTCAGTGGTTTTCGTTTGTTGATGTGGTTCATAAGTGTTTCTCGTTTCTCGTTTTTTATATAGATTAGACCGTTGGTTTTCCTGTTTGAATGGTATTACACTAGTCATTTTTGTGGCCCTTTATAGCTTGCTGTTAGCTGTGAGCCAAGGCTCCGTGTTGAAGGCCGTACTTTGACCTATAATGGTTTACTTTTACAAATTGTGACTTGGATGAAGAGTTGTCTCATTGTCACTCATACCACATGTTCTTATATCTATTTTGAAGTTCAAAAGTTCATTTTACAGCGTGTTTTATATGTGTTATAAATCAAGGGGTAATTGTTTTTGTTGCATGAAAATGCATAGATTTAAAATCCTAAAGCTCAAGAAGGACTTGACTGTCCAATACATCTGGTAATTCGTGCTACTCTTTTTTGTGTATCATATAACATTTTTTCGCTATATGCGTCACAAATGAACTGTAAGATTCACAAAACAATCATGATTAAAAAGGGGGAACCCAAAATGTGATTGAAAAACGAAATTACCATTGTAATAAAAAAGCAAAACGTCAAAAAGACAAACAACAGTTAACGAAAGACTAAACAAATGCAATACAGATCAAACACAAATTCTTCAAAACAATCGGGGATTTACTCGGGTGCTTTGAATAAAAAGTAAGCATTTCTTTTCACCACTAGTACCAGCCGTTATATTCATGCAACAACAGTTTTGTAAGTCGCAATCAGTGATGTTGTAACTACGGAAGATAGAATGTGATTGTCGTTACGAAAAGTGGAATATATTCATTAAAATATGTGACAGATAAACCATTAGAATCCAGCAATGGATGATCCTATCGAAAAAAATGACAAAAGGAAGATTGGAATTTACTTTTTAAAATTTTTGATTAAATGGTGTCTTTGTAAGCAGCAAGCCCCTATCAAGGAAATCATACTAAAATAGTGTATAAAGTGGGATTTGTTGACACTTTCAAAAAGAAGGTAAGCAGCAACATTTTTAATGTATTTCTGATAGAAAAAAATACGCTCTTAAATATCGTGCCAACTGAGAGATATACATATGCGAGTGCTGATGTAATGTCACTACATTTAAACGAAAATCACCACGGAATAATTGAAGTCATCTTTGTGGTTGCAAAATTTGAATTGGCACTTTCAATCAATTCCAAAGTAATGATCGGATAAAATGAAAACAATCAGCACACATGTAGTTACCAAAAATAAGAAGTACAATCATTATGTATATTACTGTGGATACATTTTTATTTGTGGTATACCAATTTTCGTGGGTTTCGTGGGTCACAGCGAACCACGAATTTAAGAATTCAACGAAGAATAATCCCGAGAAATGTGCATGGAGTCGGATGTTTATTTCCGGTTATGTTATGCAGGTTCTAGTATAGTGTTGACTAGCGATAAACATTGTAACATAACACATGTTTTTATTGAAAGAAGTATTTTGATTAAGTAATAAATATATCGATTATCATTGATAATTTACTTTTTAAAATTGATTAAAACTGTTCATGGATAATAACTTCAAGTTGTTAATTATCGTGTCAAAGTTTGGTTTACTTGTGATTAAAAATCAATAGGATTAAGTACGGGGATATTGCCGGTAGGTAATATTGTTTATGACCGGAACATTTTTTTTCACACATTTTACTGATATGACTGTTTATTATATAGTGATTAGGGAAATGAGCTTTCAATCATAGTGTTTGAGTGCCTTATAAAATTCCGGCAAGAATTTATAAATGTAAAAAAAAAAACAAATTATTAGTTGTCTCTGTCCATTATTGTAATATAAGTTTTCAATGAACACTTTAACATAGAATGACCAAGCGAGGATTTTGACAATTCCAACCTTTTTCAATGAATTCCTTCTTTTTTGTTTGTTTTATTATTAATCAAACCAAGGAGGTTATATGATCTCCTAAATAAAAAAGAAATCAACGAATTACGTATCTTGATTTTTTTTTTAATCAGCGATCCACGAATTTACGTATACCACGAAACGTCTTTTTTTCTCTATCCACGAAAATTGATACCCACGAAAATAAATGAATCCCCAGTATGTATATATATATATACACAAAATATCGTTATTGATGCTCCTTCATAGCCTCTCTCAATCTTCTTTGGATAGAAAATTCGGCTACAGATGACCACTTATATGTTGATTTTGTCTTCCTTTCCTCGATTATGACAGAATCAAATTTAATAGTATTATAACAGGAATATTAATTGTCCTTATCATCGATTGTTACTAGTGAAAAGGAACTGCTTAGCCTTCTAAAGCACCTAGGTTCAACCCCCTTTATATCTTTGATTAGTTACTAAATTCATATTGATTAATCTTGTGTGTTTTGTGTTCTTAGTGAAAAAAGGAAATGAAGGGTAAACATTAATGAGAGAGCCAAAAAAAAAAAAAGAAATGTCGAGAACAATATAAATGTATCAACACTATACAGTTGACTTTTGTTTTCGTCTGGTCAAGGTGTCTTTTGTTTCTCCTTGATGTATTGTGTATATTGCTCATTTGATATCTTTAATGGCAGTACTACATGCAGTTACTATCTTGAAAAGCCCCTGTATAGAATGTGTTGCATACGTATAAAAGAGCAAGACAGTAATGGATCCGATTTGTACGAATTACTTGAATATTATTTTGATAAGAATATATAGGCATGGAAGACATAAATGAATGACATGTTTTACTACTAACAAAATGTGAACAAAGTACAATAAACCAAACTTTACCCCATTTCCCGCTAGTACTGTACTGCTTGTATCAATACTGGTAATTCTCTCGTAAGTTACTAACATATCCCAACATGCAACAGCAATCTCCTTAAGCAGTAATGATAAGAATAAATTAATATGCAGTCGTACCCTGTGCTGTTTCCGAAGACCTCTGAAATAGATTTAAGCAGTGTAAATATTATTTTTTTATTCAAAATTATAAGTATGCATTTGGATTTTTATTTTCGTTCTGTTGTTATTTCATTAGGGTATATCTACATATATCCAATGATGGGACTGGCAATTAATAAAATACCTCAAACTTGATATCTTTAGTGAAAATACGCTTAGACTTGTCATAATAAATTACATCAAGTCAACATAATATAGCTTTAACAGAAACAATGCTCTAAAATATAATCAAAGATTATTACCAAGACTCGATGAACACCGTAAATCTTTATTCTTTGGTCAGGCAATAATAAATTAAGGTTAATATGGTATTGGAGACAAAATAATTGCTTTCTCCATTTCATCAGATTTTTTCATTACAGTGTTAGATTTTTGTAATGATGTAATTTATCCCTATCACAGTATCCAAATGAATAAAACATTAAGAAAATCTAAGTAAAACTTCCATACTTTGGATCAATTTAAAAGCATATCATTCGTTTTGCCATTTAGTCTTTTATGCATTTAGAAGTCGTGATAAATACTATAATAGTTTCAATCACATTTGGACACTGTTATTAAATAAAACCATTTTATATGATTTGTTACCATCCTAGTGGAATTGATCATTAACTCATGGACCAAAAAAATAAGGCTTCCTTTGTTTTGGGAGGAAGGAAAATTGTACTTATAATTTTGGAAGACAACAAATTATTTCATCAAGTGCAATATCAATTGAAACAAGGTAAAAACAGGACCAGAGTGCTAAAGTGCTAAGAGTTTCAAATCGAGGTCTCCTGAACTCAATTCGTTTTACAAATATTCAACCAGACTATTGGCCTTCAGTAGGGAACGAAGTGTAGGCCGCTTCATTAGAAATTAATTCATACCCGCATTACGCAGAACGTATGCACCTTCTATTAAAGTGGCTTTGGGGTTTTAAGATTTAGCTTTTGTTCTTATCTAAATTTATAGTCTTTGCTTTAAGAATGTTATCTCCTTCTTTTATGGGATTTGAAGACAAATCAGATGTAAGGACTATATCTGAAAAGAGGAACACATCCGTTTTAAGTTTTCACATTGATTAATGAGCAGGTGGTCACGTTACCCACACAACTTAATGATAAATACCATTTGAATGTGTCTAATTCGACATTTTTGGAAGAGGGAAAACATTCCAAACATAAGTACACAAAACAGTCAATCTGTTAGGTCAAACTAGTTTGAACATTTTTTTTTCAGAAATTAACCACGAAAATAATAACTCATCACTATAAGTATAACTGAATATGATTGTCCATCAGGGCAATCTCAAAAAATAAAATCACTGTATACTTTTGTCATTTATTATAATATTATTCATTGAATTGTCGGCTAAAAAGCAACAGTATAAAACACATTAATTAGCTTTAAGTTCTGACATGAATGCCCAAGAAGTGTTCCAATGACATTACTGCTTCGCATCACGGTGCGGAGCTATTAGTTTCAGTCGATATACACGTCATCTTGAAATAATTACTTATCACATACAGATTCTGATTGGTTGCTTTATGATGCGTCTGAGATACAGCAACAGCTATTGGCTTAAATGAGATAAAGAATTACAGACTTTTCTCGTCTCAGGATAAGACATCAAACGCCGGAAAATTAACTATGTGTATTTCTGTTCCGATCAACTGTCATTAATTCATGTTCGTTTTATTATGCATATATACACACTGAAATTCAATATTGAAATATCAATTATTAATACGTGTTTATTTGCTGTTAATCTGCAATATGCACAATTTGTTTTGCTAAACAATGTTCCTATACAATGTTTAGAAAAATGCATTATCTGTATTTTATAACTTCTGCCAATCTAGACACACCTCCAAACAGGCAAACCTCCAGAGTCGTGTCTGTTTGTAAATGTTTTACTTTTCAACAAGTAAAGTGAACAAAATTTTAAAAGCATGGTTGTATAACGCACACTCTTGAGGTAGAACAACATCATTTTCACTGAAACTAAATATTTTTTGCTGTTTCTTATTTATTTTAACTGTTGTAAATATCTTTTGGTTGTACACGTCTTTGTTTACTCCCTGGTTTTGATTGTTATTGTCTTCATCACTCGAAATCATGTTACTCTTAATCAACATACCTAAACATTCATATATATCTAAATAAATTATATACAGAACTAGTTATCAAAATCGCAAGTCAATGACCAGCTGAAAGAACTAGAAAACCACCCTCCACAAAAACACATTTACAACTAAACACTGAACAGCCAGTTTAAAATTTCAGAAAAGTTCATCTTAATATATATACAAAAATTGATATTCCAAGTCTAAGACATCCATTTCATATCAATCAATGTCTAAAAATTAATACCACATTTCCAATACCAAATCAACAAGCACATGCACACATATAACCTTAAATTATGATAGAGCGAAGCAGTCCACAGCTTTTTAAAAAGCTCAAGCTTGTAGTATTTGATATCGCTTAATTCATGTTCGGTGTTAGCCAAGGCTCCGTGTTGAAGACCGTACTTTGATCTATAATTGTTTACTTTTTATACATTGTAGCTTGGATGGAGAGTTGTCTCATTGGCACTCATACCACAACTTCTTATTTATATCAACTCGGTATTCCCTAATGAGTCTGTTAAGTTTCCAACACCCTTTCTTTCGGGCTATATATTGTCTTGTTTATGGCGTCAAAGGACAATAACGGTTTGAAAATATTTTATACCCGAGTAAATATATTATTAAGATCGAGGAAGGAAGAATTTGAATAATCACGAAATTAATTTGACTTCAAAATAATATGCATTCACCTCGATCTCTTTACATCGGAACAGAGTGTGTTTTGTTTTGTTCATTATACTTTACGTAATTGCTAACTTACTGTTTCTTGATTTAAGATGGAGAAATTGCTAAAGGTTAAAGCAATCGCGAATAACACTTAATTTAATTTTGAAAAATAACTTAACAATATTTGAACCTTTCTACGGCTAATTATAATTCACTAAATTAATTTTTCTCTTATGTCGGGCAACCTCCCACCATCTTTCCCGAACCACTAACGCACTTATGTTGCCTTCTTTTAGTCCATATCATTAACAGTTTCGATTTTTATTCCCTTTGTGGAATTAGCTTTTTTCACTTTACGTCAGTGTTCACTTGTATCGTCTTAGCATTTTCCTGTGCAATTGTTTCGACAATAAGAAAAGTAGGCAAGAATAGCGGTATAAGTTTTGGTCATTGTTTAAGGCCGTATAGTGACTTTCACTTGATTTGTGGATATATCATTCAAGAGGTCTACAGTTAATTGCTTGGCTGGAATTTCACAAGTGTATAATTTTAATGCCTGATGATTGGTTACTCCAAACTATTCCCATGGACAATGAAGCGTTCTAACTGTCTGAAATTGGAATTTATTTCAATTAATGAAACAGGAAGACTGCATTACAGTTCACTCGCAAGTAGAAAGTAAAAGGTCTGATCCTAATGAGTTCGATATAATTGGCAATCATTTAAATATAAATAAGTTGTTAATTCTCCAAGATTGAATACATAAAGAAAAAATATCCCCATCCCCCAAAGATAAATAAATTAAGAAATAAAAATCAAAGAAACAAACAAAACAAAACTAATGAGATCTACTAAATATACACAAGGTTGAATAGGTCGATAAGAACATGCGAAGTAGGTCTATTATTCTTTGCTTGTTCAAAATTTGGACAGCAAAAATGAACGTGATAAGAGAAAACCAAACAAAATATAGTGGTAGGTTTTAACGTAAGAATGTTGTGCAATTCGGGAAAAAAATGTGTGTGCGTTCACGAAGCAACACTGTCATCGTATATTTGTTCGACCTGACAGAAGTTTCTTTGTGAACTTTGTTATAAAAAAATGCTTTAAGATTTGTTCCGATTTGACCAAATATTCTTTATCCTTTATTCCGTAGGAACAAGTACTCTTATATTTCTTTCAGAAGGAAAAAATACATCCCACAATATTTGTTCCATTTGTAACTAATATCATAAGGGAAATTTTATTCCATGCCAACCCCACCTCCGATAAATCTAACAATTGGATTAAAAATACTGATCGCTCCATTCATATTAGCTAATCACATCTGATGTAGAAATTGACCATGTTTATATTAATTAGCTTCAACATTATTTTTAGATCCCCCATTGTTTACATGTATGATAGGTAGTATTATTCGTGCTCAGATTAGATTCGACAGTTATCTCTAAAGATACAACTACAAAAATACAGAATGCACACTTATAATTTGATAATACACTTTGATAGATAATGATTCAATTCAATACAGAAAGCTCAACAAACATATTAAAGGTAAAGAAATACAAAACAAATTCTTCCTTCACAATGCAACGTTCTAGACTTCTCCAAAAGCTTTGAAAGTCACACATTTCATGCACCACATTTTCCCATTTTTACCTTATTAAACAAGGATACTTTAAACAGCAATGTTTGCAATTCAGAAATTTTATGTCGGTTAAATGAAAATGAAAAAAGTACAAGACCAACAGACGACAAAAAGTATTAAACAAGACTTACTGATATCTTATGAAAATGAAAATAGACGGAAACAGCACAAGTATACTAGATATACTGCAGCCAAGTCCAACAAATATGGAAGTTTTCAAATCCTAGAAAAGAGTATACACAAGTCAGGTTTAATATGAACAAATATGTATTATTCAAAAGCTATAGCCAAAAATGATTAAAACGTACTTAATAATTCCTAATGAAAATGAAAATAGTCTGAAATAGTTCTAATGTAAACATATATATTAATATTCTGCTAGTATTAACATTTTATAATCATAGAAAAATGATATAATCTGAAATGAATAAACTTATCTTACATCAACCGTTAAACATGGCTGATAATTTGTCCATTCTCGACCATCTCGTATTTCCCAACTTGCATTATGCTGGCAAGTTTTCACTGCCTGTCCTGAAAAATGATATCGTATACACAACATAAAAATGAAAACGTAAATGTTAATGTTATTTAGAAAAAATATATTAAAAAGTACTGAGGTTTGAGAGACTTCATTACTATAATCATTTATGCATGTCAATGTTACATATTTGTATGGTTTATTTTTTTTTTTTTTTACAGGTCTATTTAGGAACAATCGTATTGTTTAAGGAATGACTGAAATATTTTTTCTGTCTATGAAGAAATAACATCAAAAATGTGGTGCACACTGAATAACACGCGTAGCAAACAATTGAATGAATCAGCCCGAGTCGTGAATATTCTAAAAATCATTAAGTTGGAAATACAATTATATATTCGAAATTATATTTAAACGACAAGATAAGAAACAGTATCCTTAAATGGGTTTCTCTGAATCCATAAAGATAAACAATCACATATTTTCAAATAGTCCGTTTCTATGTATGTTGGCGTTTGTTTTTGTTGCACTTCAGTTGTTCTGTTGTTTCGTTGTTTTCCTCTTATAGTTGATGTGTATCTCTCGGTTTTAGTTTGTAACCCGGATTTGTTTTCTCTCAACCGATTTATGATTTTTGAACAGGGTATACTACTGTTGCCTTTATTTAAAGGAGATATTTGGTATAAATTGATAAGAAAAAAGTCCTAACACATGATAAAACTAATAAAAAAGATAATGATGTCAACATATGGCCGTCGAAAATAGACAAATGTTTACGCAATAAAATTGAGAATGAAAATGGGGAATGTGTCAAAGAGACAACAACCCGACCAAAGAGCAGAAAACAGCCCAAGGCCACCAATGGGCCTTCAATACAGCGATAGAATTATCATCCGGAAGCGGGCTTAGCTGGCCCCTAAACAAAAATGTGTACTAGTTCAGTGAAAATGGACGTCACACTAAACTCCGAAACATGTAATAAAACTACAATTAAAAAAAACATACAAGACTAACAAAGGCCAGAGGCTCCTGACTTGGGACAGGCGCAAAAAAGTGGCGGGGTTATACATGTTTTGTGAGATCTCAACCATTCCCCCCCTATACCTCTAGCCAATGTAGAATAAACAAACACACAGCAATACGCACAGTAAAACTTAGTTTAAAAGAAGTCCGAATCCGATGTTAGAATAGATAACAAGAGAAACTTTGCAAAATGGCATTGATACATAAATTAACAAAGGACTACTAGCAGTTACTGACATGCCAGCTCCAGACCTCAATTAAACTGATTGAAATATTATGTCGTCATCATATGAAAATCAAGCACAATCCCTCTCATTAGGGGTTTAGTATCATACCACCATAAAATATATGAGAAGAACATAACCCGTACCATGCCAACAACTGGTTTTAGAATAAATGTGTTTATTTCCGATGCAAAGACCTTAAGAGTGAATCAATATTTATTCAAAAATATGCCATTTTTAATGACCTGACAACAGCATCGTAACTATATCCCTTCTGAATAAGTCTGTTTAAAGCTTTAGTAAGCTTTTGAGGCGAATGACGACATTTTTGTGCTTTGTAAAGAATATTACCATAAAAGATTGGATGTGAAATACCTGAACGTATAAGATGTCTGCATGTTGATTTATATTTACGAAAGATGTCCTTGTACCGATGATAAAATTTAGTAAATGTTAGCCTTCAATCGAGCCATCTAGAACACATTTTATCGTATTCATTTGTCTTCTCTCTGTCTTTTACATTATGAGTTAACGCATAAATCTAACCCACCAATTAGGTGCAGACCAAAAAAGGCTTTATTTTCTGTTTTCATAACACATTAACTTGTTTTCATATATTTTAAAGTGCAATGATCGATATATATCTGCTATGAAGGCTGGACAATGATTTTCATGAAATATGTCTAAAAATATATTACTGTGTCAAAGAAAACTAGTTCGCACGACGTAAAGCCTAAGATATGTAGCTACTCATCTCGCAATTATTACACTGATTATCAGGAAAGCAATTGCATTGGATAGCTGAGGACAAATATAACACCCGTAATTCTCATGACTAGTCCCGATTTTGTTTATTATTAAATCAAATTACAAGCAACAGAAGTATAACTATGTTCAATATAAAAAAGAAGATGTGGTATGATTGCCAATGAGACAACTCTCCACCAGAGACCAAATGACACAGAAATTAACAACTATAGGTCACCGTACGGCCTTCAACAATGAGCAAAGCCCATACCGTACAGTCAGCTATAAAAGGCCCCGAAATGACAATGTAAAACAATTCAAACTAGAAAACTAACGGCCTAATTTATGTACAAAAAATGAACGAAAAACAAATCCGTTTATAATATACAAATCATGACTTAAAAATCAAAATCTGAGGGAATCGTTTGAACTCAAAACGGAGTTATAAAGAAAAAGATCCAGATATGAAGCACCTTCTAGTTTCAGTAGTTTTATTATTTCAAGTTCACTTAGATATATAAGAAACAAGTACTCACAGCTAAAATATGGGTTACTGATACCTTACAAAACAAAATCAGCCAGAAAAAAGTTTCTATGAAATATGCAATCACTTATTTTAGCATATACTAAATGTCAACTTTATATCGACATGACAGATACGAAAACAGAACTGTCATTTCTCTTGTCTAATGACCATAACTAGGTTAACAATAGATAAATTAGAAACGTAGTTCACGTCTGATTGGTTGTAGTTTAAAATATACAATTACCTATCTACGGTTCTTTTAGTAATCACCATCTTGTAATTGTAAATTTGATGGGCAACTGCCTTGGTGTTTTTTATACAGGAACTTAATAGTTTTGGTCGTAGAATCTTTAATGGAATGCGAGATGTGATGCAACAAATTCTAAATTGTCTCATAGACTTAGACGAAGCACTATCATGGCTGACTTTCCGTAAATGATAAATCTCTTTTTTTTTGTATTGCATACCATTAGTTACTGCTTGGTTAAGACGAAATATGCTATGTTTTTGCTTATGTACTTTGTCTATAGAGTGTCTACATTCCATTTTGTATTTCTTTGTTGAAATAGTTATTTGTTTTATAGTGATTAAGATTATAATACAATGGTGACTGCTGTATCCCAATTTTTGACATGTTTACCTTTTATAACGGCAACAGTAGTATACTGCTGTTCAATAGTCATACATCAATTTAACTGAAACAAATCCGGGTCACAAACTAAAACCGAGGGAAACACATCAACTATAAGAGGACAACAACGGAACAACAGAAAGACTGAACTGCTACAAAAACAAACGCCAATATACATATAAAATGGCTATTTGATAACAACTGCTATATTCCCGACTTGGTACAGGACATTTTAAGAATGAAATTGGTGGGTTGAATCTGGTTTTATGGCTAGCCAAACCTCCCGCTTACATGGCAATGTTAAAATACCGCTAAAATGACAACATTACGTGGCAGGAATACAGTAAAAACAAACACAAGAACACTCAGGAGAGAAATACATAAACAAATAATATAATAGTACACTACACCATGTTAACCACAGAATAACAACGGACACCTCCCATGTACACAACAATAGAATTATGGACTTAGCGTCACACGTATGTATCAACGCCATAAAAAGTGGCGTCACAGGTAAATGTATAAAAATAGAGTATAAAATTGGGATTAAGTTTGTAATGGTGTTATCTTATGTATTTTCTAACCATTACAAGAATATAAATATAGAATTGTGTTAGTAATGGTATAATTATTTGTATTTTCTAACCATGTCGGTTATGCTATTATGTCTGTTTGTGTTCCTCACACATTGTTGTCATTATAATGGAATTCTATGCGATTGTCATACAAGTTAGAGGTTAAGCTAGCTATAAAAACCAGGTTTAATCCACCATTTTCTACATAAGGAAATGCCTGTACCAAGTCAGGAATATGACAGTTGTTTTCCATTCGTTTTATGTGTTTGAGCTTCTGATTTTGCCATTTGATAAAGGACTTTCTATTTTGAATTTTCCTTTCAGTTCGGTATTCATGTTATTTTACTTTTTATCAGTTCTCTTTGTTTTAGTCAACACTTACGTATAGGAAGTGAATATTGCAAATAAAGTGGACATGACAGATACACTCGTTTCTCTTTTTCTGTGTCGTCCCAACATCCCCATCCATCCCATGTCCGACCGCATGTTTCATTTACATCTCCAATAGGTATAGATAACTGTCTTTTACAACAATTATTGGCAGCAACACAACATGATTTCCATCGATGACATTCATCATTGTCTAGAGTGGAACACACTTCATTTATAATTGTCTTATTATTGATATCTGGTGAAATAAGAAGCTTCTTTGAGGGGTTATACAAAACGGGAACTCGATCTGAAGCAAACAACTGTCGTTGAGGTTTGATGGTAAACAAATATTCATAACACCATGCACAAGAGAAAAGTTCAAACACATGAGAATTGTGGAATCCCAGTCTTGAATGACATTTGCGTTCAAGCGTAGAAGAAACTACAGTTACCTGTAAGATAAATTAGGTCTTGTATAAAAGATAATACGTATACAATGATGGATCACGATATATCACTAACAAAACACGAAAGCAACTAGTTTCTTTATGTTATTTGTAAAAATATTTCGTTGCCTATAAAACTTTATAACTTAAATACAAGAATGGTCTAAATTAAACAAAAGAACAGAATGCCAATGTCCCCCACGTTGCACATATTTTATCTGTTTAAGGTAAATAACTAAAAAAAGAAATTTGTTATTTGTTTTTTAAAACTTTTTAAAATTATATTATATATAAAACCAGGTTTAATCCACCATTTTCTACATAAGAAAATGCCTGTACCAAGTCAGGAATATGACAGTTGTTATCCATTCGTTTGATGTGTTTGAGCTTTTGATTTTGCCATTTGATAAGGGACTTTCCGTTTTGAATTTTCCTCGGAGTTCGGTATTTTTGTGATTTTACTTTTTAGAGAGTTGAAGACTTAAGAGCGATTTCTGATATATTTAATATTTCTAAGAGGTATAACTTATTAAAAAAAATTGATCCGCAATTATTTTGGAAATTGTCCGTGACATTGCTGATATTAACCTTTGATATGAATTTGATAAAAATCTGTCCAAAATTGTACAATGATATAATCCTATGATACAAGTTTTATAAAAATCTGGCAAGAAATGTACATGTAAGAGCTCTACCAAGACCGGACGCACGGACGGACGGACGGACGGACGGACAGACTCCCGGTATTTCTATGTCACCCCGCAACGCGATGCGCCGGGGAAATAACAAACGTGTATATGTCAGGAATATTTTCATTGGAATTCGACAAATCTTCTTGAAGATAATAATAGCATATAAATAAAATCACCTTTTACTCATACTACATATGGATATTGAGTTTGAGTGACTTGAAGTTAATCATTATCGTTATTCTTCTTTCTTTATCAAAGGAAATACATACAGTGTATACATCGATTGTTTGATTGGTTAATTGAATTGTTGCTTGAGGAATCTTTAACACGCGCAGGTGCTTTGAAGTATTTAGTTATAAGTATTTCATGAATTCCCAGGAAATCTCGACACAAAAGTAACATGATAATTGATCACTTTAATTTATCAGATTGCTTTCTCTAACAAGCTGAATAAATATCTACGAGCAAAGACAGAACGCTTTGTCTCCAAAATTCTCTACAAGTTTTTAAATTATCAAATACAGACGATTTCTAGAGCGGAATCAATAAATAGTAAAAAGATATGGCAGACAAAAGTAGCGTTGATGATAGCATAAATGTATTACTTTAATTTCAAATTTGTTTTTAATTGAAACGATAGCTTTGCTTGTCAATATTTTTCAAATTTCGAAATAATTCGACTCTTCACTTCATCATGTTATATTTATTACAAATTGATATAAACATTTAAAACGTAATTGACGTTATGCTTAGTGGTGCTTTTCAAATAATGTCAGCTGCGATAAAAAAAAAAGATGAAATACACAAAGGAAAATTCTAAATCTGATTTCATCCGTTTGAACTTACTCCATACAACTTTGAATTTCAAACTGAATCATTACCTGAGAAAAGTACCAGCACAGGAAAAAACTGTTTACTATTCTGTTTTTAATCATGGTCTGCTGTCCATTGAAATTGTCAACGTCTGTAAAATAAAATGGTTACATGTACATCTAATGTTTGGAGTATACACCAATCAGACAATAGTCCAACAACACAGGAACGGAAAACACAGGCATCAGTCTTGTTACCTTTCCCTCAATATCTCTGTTTATATTTACGTCATTAAAAAACTGGTAATTTACAAGTATTTTATGGGAAATGTGTTTCAATTGGAATCACCCTTAAAAAGAGTTTTCAATATATAATAAACTCTAATGAACTGGACCAGACATGTACCAAATGCGACTTTTCACCGGATATTTACTTGCCATGACTGATACGACGGGTGCCATTGGTAAATCAGGAGCTTTTTACCTTTCCGGAACACACCAGTTCATTCTTAATTTTGTTTTACAGGAGTTAGGTTTTGTTTGCTTTTTTCTTGCTAATTTTTCATTTTTACACTACCGTCTCGTCTATCGCTATTCTTGTAAAATACGTGCTTATTGTTTTAAATGTTTACATTCGGTCAAGGTTTATGTTGGATTAAACCATTCTAGTGACGTCAGCCTATTCATTCACCGTGGATTCTTTTTCTAGAATCAACGCTTCCTTAATCTGTCGCTGAAATGGACTCACCAAATTATATTCAATTGTTTCCTTCGTGTGCCTAATTTCATTAATTTTCATCAAGTTTGAATTGGCTAATTTACTGATTTCTGTTCACTAATGGAATCAATTTAAAAACTTACCTTTAACTTTTGTAATTTCTATATGCCTTCAATGGGAATCGAACCCGTCCTTGAAATTTGTTATGTGTGACTGACATCAACATATCGCGATTGACGAAACCTCTCGGCTACCGATTGGTTACAATTTAAATGTCTATTATATATATTAAAATGAACATATGATATACATCGGTATAACGGACACGCAGGGCTTGTACCTTTATATATATATATAATAGGCAATATATATAATAGGCAATCGTATAGTATAGGTTGGTAGCCGCGAGGTTAGCATGGTTAGGATCAATGAGTTAAAGGTAGGGACTTGTCGGTTTAGGTTCGAATCCCTGTATTCTTTTTGTTGTCCCTATTCTTTAGTTTTCTTGGTTTTTTTTTCTTGTTTTGTACATTGTTGTGGATAGTTTTGTAATAATAGCGAGTTTTACCGTTTATGGATTATAATCGGCTATTTCACATATTTGAAACGAAAATGATTACATTCTATATGTCCATTTTTGTGAAAAATAGTATGATTTCATCTGTTTTACTACATAATTTTAGAAATGGTTATTCGCAAATTCCTATGCGAGAAAATCGTGATGTGTCTAAAATTAGGATTCTTGCTAGAAATTTAGGTTACATACTTATTATATATACTTTTTATATGCTCTTTGGTCGGGTTGTTGTCTCTTTAACACATTCCCCATTTCCATTCTAAATTTTATTAGAAATAAGTTCGAATATGTCTTATTTCGTAAAAACAGATAATATTCAGATGCCTAATAATATAACGATCTTTAAAGGCAGACGTGTTGTGTTATATTTGTATCTTTTTAACCAATTAATTGTGATCTTAGATGTATTGATGCATCGTTGGACACGATAACATGGTTATCAAAACTCACTTACAATACCTTCTAATTAAGAAAAGGCTTTAATTTTGAAAAGACATTAACACAATAGTGTAAGTTATAGATACAATAGATAAGCGTTGATTCATGTAAAACAAACCATTCGCCATCCGGGCTCATGGTTTCTTTTTCAAGAATTAACGCTTATCCATTGTATCTATATAACAGAATTTACATGTACAGTCTTTTAAAAATGTTTTTAAAAATCACCTATTTGTTATGCATGTTGCAAGATTAACTAAATAACTTCTCAATGGAGTAACACGGCAAGTGTCAGTAGGTTAGAATTATTTTGGATTGCTCGCAATATCGTATTTCTCTTATGCAACCAATCCGCTTTTTAACCATTTCAACATGACTTTTCGATGTCGAGTTTCCGTACAAATGTTCCTTTTAAGTTCGTTGATTGTCTGACTGTCTTGAGCAGATATGGGAAACTAAATCAGGCTTGGGGGGCTTCCTGTATGCAAGGTGATAGGATGTGTCGCTGGAATAGGTCACATTAAGCAGCTTGAAAATATGCGAATAGGTGGGGAAGACAATCAGAAATATATGATAAGGTCAATAAAGTTCCCATTTCTTGTTATATGAAAAGCCCTGTAGTTTTTCACAGCCGAAAGTCTCGGCATAAGTAAACATACGAAATCTGAGCGTCAGATCTGAGACTCGCTCCGAGCCACTCTCCGAGCAAAGGTGATATTCTTCCTCTTTTGACACTTTGGTATTCCACTTTTTCAACACACCGCACAAAACCCAACCAATATTGGAAAAGGTTTTATTTTTACCTACGCAATATATGAAAAGGAATACATTTTTAAAATAAAAATTATATGAAAAGGGTGGGGGTAACAGAACCCCAGCGGTACCCTATCAATTAAGTATTGAAGTGCCACCCCCCCCCCCCCCTTGGCTATTATTTGTCTGTTTGTCTTTTTATTTTTGGCCATGGCGTTGTCAGTTTGTTTTCGATCTATGAGTCTGACTGTCCCTCTGGTATCTTTCGTCCCTCTTTTATATGATACTTACAAAGTATAAAGTAATCCATTGGCAGTCAAATTCCATGTTTTAAAAAATCTTTTAATAATGAACAAAATCTTTAGAAACATTCCCACGATAGACTTAAAACAAATGCGTATACAGAATAGTCTTTTCACATTATATTTGTACAAACGTACCAATACCAAGAGGACCATAAAAGCAAAGGATCGGAGAAAAACACACAAAACACCATGGCCAAAATGATGATGATAAATGTGTTGAACGATCTTGACTGTCTTTGAAGCCCTAACACGGTCGGTCCTGACCTTTTGGGACATTTAAATGATTCATTTCTGTGACACAGATATTCAATTACGACCAATCACTTAATGATGGCTTCCGTGAGACTGTTGATGCAATGACTGCAACTTTACAAATAGGAATCCTTGTAAGCAGTCATCCTATATCAAAGAAATCATGATAGGAAACGCGAGCTCTGGAATATTGTCTTCAATATGTAGGCGCTACTTAAATGTTGCTACATATATACTTTTTTGTATTCGTAAATAATTCCCATATAATCCTGTAACTGTGTTGTAGAAACAGATATTTAACTATAATTAATATTGTATTCGGACGCATCAAATTTATAAAGTGTTGTTTTCATTTTTACAGCACTGGGTCGATACCTCTGCTGATGGACTATCAGTCCCCGAGGGTATCATCAGCTTAGTAGTCAGTACTCCGGTACTGGCATGGTTTATAATAAACCTTTTTTAAAATGTCCGTTAATAAATTTTGAAATTGTTAGAAACTAAGATTTCAACTCCCTCAGGCAAAGTTGACCTAAGATGGATTTGGCTATTTTTTTAGGTCGTTTTTGGTTATATAGCTCTTCAACATTTAGGTTCTTATACATCCTTGGCTTTCAAATATTCGGCCTTGAACATTCCTGATGAAGGTACATCCAGAAAAGCGCTTCGAACGCATGAAATTTATAACGTGTTGTTTTCATTTTTTTTTTAATAAAGATTTTACATTGTCAATTTATATATTGGAAACATGTTATTTGATGAGTCATTTTACTCCTCTATATTTTATATATAAGACTGAAGACGCTTCGACTGAACCTGTATAGCTTTCCTAGGTGTCACATTAACAAATAAGTCAGATGCAAATGATGGATTATCTTACACCTCAATAATCATTTACATAAGTTTTTAAATCATTGGGCTTTTCTAGAAAGAAAAAGGAAATATGTTCCTACGAGAATAAAAAATAGATTGTCCATTTTCCGATTGAATTGCGTTTGTACTGCAGGTGCATAAAATACATTGATATTAAGATTTACTTTCGATGGACATATATTGAATTGGCCAAATCTAAAAGGATAGCTTTATACAGAACGTGCATATGATAGTTATCATTGCAAGGTAGCACAGATTGAATAAATAGTTATATATGGGAAATGTTGAAAACATTATTTTTTGCCAATTTCATTCTGATCTTATATATTGTTTCCTTGGCGCTTTGTTTTTCATCCTTGCAGTCGTCATTTATAAGTTGTTTGCTAAACGACCTTTTTTTTAGGGAGAAAGACATCATCAGTTTGATTAAATCCTACAAAGTTACAATTCTATAGTAAAACTGTAATAAGAAATCATTAGTAAAAAAATAAAAATAATATCGTATAAAGAAATTCATTTTTGTAGTTTTAAATGACACAGAATTTTAATATTTTACATGACAAATTAAGTTACTGACTTTTGTGGCAATATTTTTTCGAGTTAGAAGGAAATGATCGTTTGATACTTAAACAAAAGACTTTTCACAATATGTCTGTATAAAAGTTTTGAAATGAAACCAGAACGACAATAGACATGAGTGTAAGTCGAGTGGATAAAAAGCGTACGCATATTGAATTTTGATAGTCGTACGTGTAAATGGAAATATCACTTGCATAGTCTATATGTAACAGCCACTATGTTCCGTAAGTTACTTTGTTCCGGCGGAACTTTTCAACTAGTTATTTCGTTCCGAGTGCAGTCGAAAAGTTCCGGAAAAAAGTAGCTAGTTGAAAAGTCCCGGAACAATGTAGCTAGTTGAATATTTCTGGCGGAACAGAACAACTAGTCACATCGTCCCGAATATACCATATTTCGTCCTTTTTGTAGAAAGAGGGGGAAGAATGAGTATCAGTATATATAAAAGCAAATCATTAATTTACAAGAATACCCAACGCACTGAAAGGGGTTTCTTTGGGGACAAATATGCAAAATTTTAAGTTGTATTTCATAGCTCACATAAAACGGAATAAGTTGTATTATCATGCAAATTTAGTATTCATAGTACCCTCAAGAGAGGGAAGAATACCCCCCTCCTCATGTGGTTCTTTGCATCAATTCTCCAAATGGAACTTTGTG